GCGAACTCCAAACCACTAAGTTTCCATGCCAGCCCCAGGAAGGAAGCAGGGGACATCAGAAAAATCAGGGTCAAATTAAATCTGAACTGTACCAGCTGGGCCCTATAACTCACACTAGTTGCAGCCTCAGTTATGCTTTTTGAAAAAAAAGAAAAGGTGCTCCCTGCTGCAGAGGCCTAAAGCCTGATTTGGAAGGCTGGTCAAAGTCCACACACAGGCAAGGGGCTGTGAAGGTTTGGGCCTAGAATTTCCCTTATGTCTCAAGGTCCTGGACATTGAGACACTGACACTATCTTTAATAGGCTCCCAAAGGACAAGGCAAGACTCTTGAGCCCATTCCAACCCCCCCACCCCAGAGCCATCCTATTAGCCAAGAGGTTGAAGGGAAATGGGTGACTCAGGCACGCAAGCTACTGCTCTTTTTCCCCAGTGACTCACGAAGCCGTCAGCCCCTTCCCCCAATTTTAAGCATTCTTTGGAAATCACACCCACCAGTCTAGTCCAAAGGGCTGGAGAACAGATAGGAGCCAGTTCCTCCAAGAAGGAGCTGGGGCTGGGAGCCCAGCCTGGCTTCCTCAGCTCCTCATTCAGCCTGCGGGCTCAGCACTCCACGTCCTTGGAAAAGCTCACAGTTTCTAGGAGCTGGGGATGGCAGGAGCTGAATGGCCCCCTCCCGTTCCCTTCTGAGACTGGGACTTGTTTAAACTCATTACCAAGGAGGGCGAGAATGTGCCCTGCCTCCATCAATGGGCTCTCAGAGCTGGAGGGACCCTTAGAGGGCATTGGTCCAACGTCCTTATTTTAGAGTTGGAGGCAATGAGACTCACAGACAGGGCATGCTCAAGGTCAGTCAGCAACTCAGAGGTAGGACCCAAGGCATCGAACTTCAAACCTAGCAAATTTCCTCATCTGGAATGTTCTCTGAGGATGCTTAAGCCAGACACATTGCATGATCAGTTAGACCTGGTTCTGACCTTGGACGAGCCACTTCAATCCTCTAACCATCAGTTTTCTGTAAAACGGAGATAGTAATACCTATCTTACATATATCATTGGGAGACATTCATGCCAGAAATAAATAACCCTGATGCACCTTCAGAATAAAATTACATGTGTGAATTTGTTCATTCACACAAACATTGCCCAGCACTCACTATGGGACAGGTATTTCACTAAAAACAAATAGAGCAGAGTTCTGCCCTGGCTATGAGGGTGGGGGGGACTCAGAATTTCAGCAGCTTTCCCTCAGAAACCATGAATTTCTTCCAGGAAGGGAATGCCTTAGTGTCTTTATGGTTTCCACAGCCCTTTGCACACTGCATTGCAGGTATTTATTTAATTATTAACTACTAACAGAATGCCAAGGAGCCCTGTTGGCACACCGGTTAAGCACTTGACTGTTAACTGAGAGGCTGGCAGTTAGAGCCCACCCAACAGAAAGCCCTGTGTGGCAGTTCTACTGTTACATGGGGTCGCTATCAGTCGGATTCGACTTGACAGCACCCAACAACAACAGAATGTCACAGCTAGGAAAAGCTCGAGTTCAAATCCCTTGTTTTACAGATGGGGGGATGTCAGCCCAAGAGGGAAAGGGACCTCCTCCCAACCTCACGGAGCTCTCCGTTCAAAGTGCGACCCAGCTATTTCCTGGGAATTTGGTAACTCTGGGATCCCAAGACATCCCAAAAGCTCTCACTGGCCACTCAAGGGTCCTAGAACCTCCTGGGCTTCCGCTCCCACACCCACTTCTGTGCAGTCAAGGAGCAAACTCTCAAGCAGACCAGAAATATCCTTAAGCTCCAGTACACCCGGTAGGTGGGGGAAACTTCCCCATAACTGTCTGGGCCAAGTGCCAAGTCAGTGGGCTATGCCCCTGGGCAGCAACACCTGGGTGGGGGGGGCAGCTCCCAAAACAAGGCTGCCTTTAATGGGAGGGAGTGGCAGGAATAGATCAGGGGAATGCTCCCAGCTGGACAGGAAGAACTGGTTTAGGATGGCAACCCCCCACCAAATAGAGAAGAGGGCAGCTGGGCACTCAGCCTGGGCTCTCTTCCCCAAATCTGTGGCACCAGGGGGGTAGGGCACCACTCAGGGAGAGAACAGGCCTTTAGATTAAACCTAAAATGTGGGCAGGGGCCCCAACAGCATTGTTGAGGGACTACTGGACAGACATTCTGGTGGCCTGGATGCTCTCTGCTATCCCAAGTGGTACTCATTTTACCTCTGTTTCCTTATCTGTAAAGTGGCCATAACATAATTTCTGCATCCTAGTTTTTATTGCAAAGATAAAAATGCATCACAGGCCTGGCATATGGAAAACATTCAATGAATCATAACTGCTATTGGCAAAACTCTTCTCCCTGGCCACTCAAGGGTCCTCTGTTTTTCTCCGCTTGCAAAATTAAAAGTCAGACCGGATCATCTCTATAGTCTAAGCCACCTGTGACTAGGCCTGATTTTTCCAGCCACAACCTATGAAGGAAGAGGGGAGGGTTAAAAGGGGAAACGCTATGACCCAATTAGAAGTGGAAGGTCTGTGACACTAGCCACAGATGAGAGAGGAACACCTCTCTCAGGAAACAGCTTCCCAGGGCTGACTTCTCCCCAAGCTGTTCAGTCACCATACACAAGAATGACACAACCCCCTTCTCCAAACCACATCCCTCTGACAGCCCTGGACCATAGCTATCTGCTCCTCACCCCAAAGCACCTGCAGGCTCAGCAGCCTTGGAGCTAGACTGGCATGTAACTGTCCACGCTGTGACCTCAGAAGCCTCCTGGGTCCTTTCCTTTTTCTCCACACTGCCCAGATCAACACGATCCAATATCCAGTGGACGTCTCCCCAACCACTCAAAACCAATGCATCCTTCAGGCCTAGTTTAGGGCACTCCACTGAACCCAAACCAAACCCACCGCTATCGAGTTGAAACATAGCGACCCTATAGGACAGAGTAGAACTGCCCCATAAGGTTTCCAAGGCTGTAAATCTTTAGGAAGCAGACTGCCACATCTCCTTCCAGCTTAACCACCGTACCACAGGACTCCTTGGGCATTCCACCAAGGTTGGGGGAAGAGGGAGTGGGTGGGCAGGGGCAGAAGAATTGGGTTCTATCTAGTCCAGGCTCAGCCGCTAACCTTTTGGCATGGCTGCCCTTGACTTGGGAATACCATCACCCTACTTCTCTCCACCTCAGAATTCTTTCAGGCCCAAATCTCAACAGACTCTAAGGTGCCCGAAATCGGACCCCACAGCAGCCATGCACAGAGGAGTCAGGAGGACTAGGAGTTGGAGCAAGGACTTGGAAGCCTGGCTGCCTAAATTTGAATCCGGCTCTGCCCCTACTACAGCCCTGGTGGTGCAGTAGTTAAGAGAGTTGCTGCTAACCAGAAGGTTAGCAGTTTGAATCCACCAATCGCTCCTTGGAAACCCTATGGGGCAGTTCTATTCTGTCCTATAGGGTCGTTATGAATTAGAATAGACTTGACAGCAACGGGTTTGATTTGATTTCTGCCCCTATTAGCTGTGTCACCTTGGGCAAGTTACTTACCATCTCTTGCTGCAGAAGTTTAGACTAGTAAACAGTAGGGATGTCGTGGAAATTAAGCAAGCTGATCTATGTAAGGCCCTCAAAACACGGCCAGGCACAGAGTAAATGCTACATGTTTGTTATCATCACTAGCTGCCTGGAACTGTGCCTGGAACAGCCCTGAGGGCTATTGCTCAGGGTCTCATTCATTCCCCTACAGGAACCTGTCAGGCAGAAAGGACTTTCCCCTAAGTGAGCACAAGGAAGTAGGAGCCTCAGGGCTTTCAAAAGAATTAACATTAATGATTAAATTTCTAGGACTCACTCCCTCCCTCTAGAAGCCAGGACTTAGGAACAAGAAGGGGACACAAGCACCAGGTTCCTAGGGGGCGACTTAGAAACAAGAAGGGGACACAAGGACCAGGTTCCTAGGGGGCAGGTCGCCTCTCTCAGCAATTTCCATGTCCCCAACTTCCTAGATGATATTGTCTCCCTCCTCCCCGCCTGGCTGCTGGGGTGAATGGGGCTTCTCCGGGTCTAGGATTTTGAAAACTAGGAGGGGACCAGTGGGCAGTGAGAAAGCATTCTCTCCCCAGCCCCCTTCACCCCACTCAAGGCTGGGGCTCCAATCTCTCCATCTGCAGTTCAGCAAAAACAAACACTCTTCTTGCAAAATGCAGAGGCTCAACTCTTGAAAGCCTAAACCCATGCGCGCTTGAAGGATCAGAGTCCCAGCTTAGCTAAAAACAAAACAAAACCCATTGCCGCCGAGGCGATTCCGACTCACAGCAACCCTACAGGACAGGGTAGAACTGCCCAATTCGATTTCTAGGAAAGGCTGGTGGATTCGTACTGCCGACCGTTTGGTTAGCAGCAATGACTCTTAACCACTACGCCACCAGGGTCTAGGTAAGCACTACTCATCTCCTGCCTTTTGGGCAGATGGGGAAACTGAGACTCAGAAGGTGCAGAGCCTTTTCCTAAGACACAAGTCAGTCAGTAGCAGGGCTCTGTCCTCCACTCCCCGGTGTGTGAAGCACTGCCCCGCAGAACCCTTCCCTCCCTCTCACCCCCAAGCGAAGTCGAGTTCCGGGGCTACCCACCCTGCACGCCTGCAGAAGAGTGAGGAAGTGGTTAGGGGCTCCGAGCCTATCCCAGGATCGTAACGAGGCAAGGGGCGCGTGTGGGCGGAGAAGAGATGACACCGGCTTGGTCACGTCCGAGCCTGGAGCCCGCGACGGGGCTGAGGCCGGGGTAGGCGGGAGGAGCAACAGCCTGGGGGCGCACGGCGCTAGGAGGAGCCAGCCTCGGAGCCCCGGGTCCCATAGCAAAGTTTCCAACAAAGTTTCCCCCGCCTCGGCGGCTAGCTGGGGCGGCGAGCGCAGTCCCCCGAACGCCCCCCATCCCCGGCTCCCAGGAACAAAGGAGGGGCCGCCGCACCAGTCGCGCCCCGGATAACTCCAAGCACCTACCGACTCCGCAGTGGCGCTGGGGACGCTCACAAGAAGCAGCAACAGCGCGAGCAGGCGGGCGGGGACCATGGCTCCCAATGCAGAGGGCGGAGGCGGCAGCAACTGGCCCCAGGAGTCAGAGCGGCCCGTTTTATAGGCGGTGCGGCCCCGCCCCGACCCGCCCCCGCTGCCGCCCGCGCCCCGCCCGGAATTCCCCGCGAAAGCTGGGCCTCCCCGGCACTGCAACCAGCCACCGAGCTGGAAATCCCAAGGGACCCGCCGCGTACCCGCGCCGGTTCCCAGTCAGCCCCTACCGGAAGCCCCAGCCCCCTTTAGTTATTTGACCCCCTGCTAGGCAAGCCCCCAGAGACCATTGCGTCTCAGCCCATTTTGTAGTTGGGGAAACTGAGGCCCAGGGACTCGAAGGACTTGCCTGGCGTCTTCCGTTTAGACCAGCGCTCTTTAAACTGGGTGCACTACTCTCTGAAGGTACGGAGACTTCCCAAAGGGGACAGGGGATACGGGTAGTTTTTGGGCGGGGGTCAGCAAACTGTTTTTGTAAAGGGCTAAATAATTTAGGTTTTGCGAGTCATGCAGTCTCTGTCCCAACTACGCAAACTCTGTTGTTGTAGCTCAAATTCGGCCATAGACAGTACTTAAAGGAATGAGTGTGGCTGTTCCTATAAAGGATTATTTATGGACACTGAAATTTGAATTTCATACAATTTTCACTTGTCACAAAATGTTCTCCTTTTGATTTTCTTTCAAACATTTAAAAATGTAAAGGTCATTCTTAGTTATCAGTGACCCGTACAAAAACAGGTGCCAGACAAAGTCTGGTCACAAGGTGGCTCACCCGTTTTAAAGGATTTGTTTTCTAGATTTTGAACTTCCTAAAAAGTTTACTCTCTCTGAGAAATGGTCTGTTAAGTTTACCTCCATTGGCAAGGCCACGTCCACCCTCTGTAAAAGAAAGGTCTGTGTGGCCCCTGACCCATCCTGCATCTTCCCACAGAGCATCGTGGGGGGCGGGAGGTGGGGGATGGAGAAGAGGGAAAAGCCTCTGGGGTCCCAAGTATAGGTATGGTTGGAACTATTAGTGGGAGCATCCTATGATAATCAATTGAAGTACTAAAGCTGCCTAGCTTTGTCTCTCCCTGACTTACATATATTTCTACAGGGTGAAGCATGGATTTAGAACCAGGGTATTTTGGCCTTGGTTGGCATATTATGAATTTATATACTTTGTAGAGTGGACAGGTGGGAGTGACTTCCCTCTTCTAGCCTCTGATTATCATCACAGAATGAAAGAGCCTTGACAGTAAAGCATGCTTCAAATGCCAGGTCATGTTTTTCCCACAGGTTTAAAGGCAAACATTTATTTTCAGGTATTCTGACTACTCTTCCCTAGGACTCAGAAAGGAAAAACTAAAAAACAGACATTGAGAAAATGAATTAACCTCACGTCAGGATAACAAATCCTTTTGCAATCTTTGCTTTCTACAAAATTGGAGGGCCTAATCTAATTGTCAGTAGATAGCTCATGAAAGCAAGTTCTGATGATAGATCACTATGGGATTTTAGTTGCCTGTCATTGCATTGCTATAACAAACTCCTTCCATTCCCACCACCTTCCTTAAGGGAAGAAGATTTCTCAACACTTAAAGCCAGTGGTTGCTGGTAAATGTTTTAAAAATTGACTAGAGGGTGCAGAGAGTACTAGTTTGTTGCACTGCCAATTTCTATAGTGTAAATGCTCCCTCCATGGCTGATTTCAAGCTACCAATGTGTTGTCATTGAATGTGGAGTTGGGAAGAGATGAGCAGTATTTCTGTGACACAGATACAGTGGGCACAAATAACCTCAAGAGCATAGATAGCAGTAAAATGTAGTGAAATAATTAGGAAGTGATGAGCTTTGAGTATTTATTTTCTGTTTCTAATATAATTTAATTGTGAATTTATATAATTTAATTTTTGGTAATAGTTATGTTTAACAGTCAGCTCACAAAATTCCTAAAAATTGGCTCTCATGCACCAGTATCTGCTGACATCAGCACACCAGTGCTTGACAGTTATAAAAATGAAAAATGGGAACAAAATTATTGCTATAACCTACCTCATTCTAGCACAAGCAATGTACATCCAGAGATATGTGAACTAATCTGGAGGGAAAATTACCCCATCCACCTCATTAAGACAGGCTTTTCCAACATTTTACTTTTTCTGTCTAGCAATTTTTTATCAAAGTTTGTACAACTGATTTCATGGGTGTATGTTGTTCTTAGGTGCCGCTGAGTCAGTTCCAACTCACAGCAACCCTATGTACAACAGAACACAACAATGCCAAGTCCTGTGCCAGCCTCACAATCATTTCTATGCTTGAGCCCATTGTTGCAGCCACTGTGTCAATCCATCTCGTTGAGGTTCTTCCTCTTTTTTGCTGACCCTGTACTTTACTAATCATGATGTCCTTCTCCAGGGACTGGTCCCTCCTGATAACACGTCCAAAACAGATGAGACAAAGTCTCGCCATCCTCCCTTCTAAGGAGAATTCTAGCTGTACTTCTTCCAAGACAGACTTGTTTGTCCTTCTGGCAGTATACATATGTCAAAACTACCAAACTGTACATTTTAAACGTGTAGTTTATTTTAGGTTAATTATATTTCAACTGGAGCCCTGGTGGCGTAGTGGTTAAGAGCTTGGCTGCTAACCAAAAGATGGGCAGTTCAAATCCACCAGCTGCTCCTTGGAAGCCACATGGGGCAGTTAAACTCCCTCTTGTAGGGTCGCTAAGAGTCAGAACTGACTCGACAGCAACGGGTTTTGGTTTTTATACTTCAATAAAGTTGTTTAAAATTTTTGTAGATGTTTTAAAAACTGTAAGATTTTTATGCACTGTTTTAAATATATTGTTTTGATCAACTGGACATTACTAATAATTGTAATAGAAAATTTTAACACCCAGGCTTATGGTCATAAAAAGTAAAATAATAATTCAATTATGCATGTATTTTCAGGCAGAGAAATACGATAGGGTCATCGACAAGCCTTTTAAGCATGAAATATAATACACTATGGAACATGGCATGGAAATTTGAGTTCAAGTAGGAAAAGGAATGATGTAAAATTTCTGACTGCTAAAGAGCCTGTTCATGTATTTTTTAAATGTATGGTTGTAGGTATCAAATTGCAAGGGTACTTAACTGGATACATTTAAAAGAATGATGTAACCATTTTATTTTTAAGTAGATGAACTTATAATACACAGGAAATTACAACTTTTGCAACTTTTTAAACTTTTAATGAAAAATGTTAAATGTCACCTAAAAAATGTGCCAGGGAGTACGTTTCCCTAATCATTTTGAGAGTACACGAGGAAAAAAGAGTGAAGACTGTTAGTTTACACTGTTAGTAGTTCTCTATAAAACTATCCCAACCTTCTAGAATAAGGAATTAATTTCTACCTCTCCAAGTGCTGAGGATCTCTCTAAAGTTATTTAACAGAGTTTGAATAGGGTTGTTGGTGGATTTGTGGGTTTTTAACACGGGTTTCCTAGATTGAGGGCAGGGAGGGGAGTGTATGAACCACAGGATATTATATGCCAAATGGAGGGTGCTTATGTAAGGTACATGTCTCTATGTAAATTTTTCTTGGTCAAGAAACTTCAGATTCTCTCTTCAGATCTTCAAAGAAGTCCTGACCCCCAAAAAGGTTAAAAACAATTGGACCAGACCCTAAGGTTCTTAGAGGAGTTCTAATAGGTTCATCTTTGGCTCCAAAAAAACAAAACACAGTGGTCAAAAGTTTGTAGGACTGAAGTCTCCAATTCCTGGCATGGGACTGACATTAACACACACACACAGGTACACATATACACACATACAAAACCAAATCCGCTACCGTTGAGTCAATTCTTACTCATAGCCACCCTATGGGATAGGGTAGAACTGCCCAATAGGGTTTCCAAGGCTGTAATCTTTACGGAAGCAGACTGCCACATCTTTCTCCCTTGCAGTGGCTGGTGGGCTCCAACTGCTGACTTTTTGGTTAGCAGTCAAGCGCTTTAACCAGTGTGCCACCAGGGATGCTTACATACACACGCACGCACGCACGCACGCACGCACGCACGCACACAGACACAGGTTTTACAGCCTGAAGTTCTTGATTCAAATCCTGGTTCCAGTACTTGCCAATTAGAGGAAATCTGGGGAGTCACTTTCTTCCTCTATAAAACAGGGATAACATACCTACTTCCTGGGGTATTTCAGAGAAGAAATAAGTGAAGTGCCAGGCACATAAGATGCTCTCACCTATGTTGGTTCCCTCACCCCTTCCTTATTTTCTACCCCTCAGATGAAATGAGTCTGGGAGATGTCAAAGGCAAACACATTATACCCTGCCCCCAGCTGTCCTTCAGGCAAAGGGAAGTGATTTAGGGATTCCAAAGGCAGCCCTCTTCTGTGGAGCTCAAAAAGGAGCTGAAAGTTCCCTGTGTGGCACAAACGGCTTAGGCTTGACTGGTAACCAAAAGGTTGGCAGTTCAAACTCACTCAGCAGCACCATGGAAGAAAGGCCCGGTGATCTGCTTCCATAAAGGTTACAGCCAAGAAAACCCTATGGAGTATTTGTACTCTAACATATGGGGTCTCCTATAAAATAAATACCAAAACTCAACAACAAAAAGGAGCTGAAACCCAGCCCACGAAGCTGGCGCTGCCCCTTCTCCCTTTCTCATCTCTCCTGGGCCAGAGGTAACCAAGGCTAGGTGCACACCTGGGCATCCAGAAACACCAAGTCCAAGGTGTTACAGCAAATTCTATCCTTAAAGACCCAGTTCAAATACCTCCTCCTCGTGGAAGCCTTCTCGAACCCCTGGCCGTCTCCTTCTAGCTCTCATCTCTCCCTCCCTGGAGGCCCTTAATACTCCATCTGTCTCTTCTGTTAAAGAGTATAGGTTCCGGCGTCAGAGAGGTCTGGGCTGTCGTCCTGGCTGTGCAACCTGGAGCAAGACACTTTCCCTCTCTGTGCCTCAGTTTCCTCATTTGTAACCTGGGAGTCATTAAAGTTCTTACATCTAAGAGCTTTGAGAGTACAGTGCTTAGCACAATACCTAGCA